AATTTACCGCTTGCCGCTGAAGGGCTTAGTGCGCCCCAAGCACTGCCGTCGCCGCGCGCGCGCACGTGTGTATTACCTCGCTCTCTTTTTTACCTCTATCTCTAAAACTCGCAGGTGTGAAATTAAAACGGCCGGTCAAGTGCTCGTAAACAATGCTCAGTTGTGCTAACGTATATCAACGAGAACTCGGGCCATTTCGACGCGTATTCAAGTAATCGCGTTTGAGAAATAAATCCGTTACCGCGCCGATCAAACAATGATAATTCTAATTTGTTTGCGCACTGGCGCTTTCTTTGGAATTTGAGGGTAGGAGGCGCAGCTCGTTCAACCACAATCCCGATGGATTTTAACTTTCGAAAGCAAAGGAAAAGGTTAACATTCTCCCTCAAAATGCGGAATTAGTTCGTTCAAGTTTGACAAACCAATGCTGCTTCTGTCGATACAACGAATGACGTTGACAATGGAACGGTAAGCCTTGGCATCGTGTCGATTTATTAATTACAAATGGCGAAACTGTTTCAGCTGGGGCAGGAATGTACGTAGCCGTATAGGAGTTTGTCAGGCGTACTCGGTGTATTTATGTTGATTGTAAAGTTGTAGTTCATAATACTGCCTAGCATAGCTGCGTACAGTCAAGTTTGGCTTGAGAGTTTGACTGCTGGCAACGCTTTGAAAACACAGGCGCACAGAGCAACTCGTAGCGCAGCTTGCGAAAATTTATCAGTCAAACTGACTGTCGCTCGTCCAAGTCCAATTAAACTTGTATGATCGAAATGGTGAAGAAAAGCGCAGTCGCGGGGGTATGCCCGATAGAAGGGCCCAAGAGTACTCGAGGGAAGGAAAAACGACGAGGGGCCGGCTGCGAGAGAGGCGAGCGAGGTGTGGCATACAAAGGACAAGTGGGTGGGAGCAAAGTAGGTCGAGGGCCTTCTCGCAGGTTGACGTTAACGCACCCTCACTCGCGAACGAGCCTGCGAACCAAGCATTCTTCTGCTGTATCGTCGATCCAACGATATGCAGTCGCTCGCCTGTCCGTCGAAAGCGAGCGACTGCAGGGTCACCGCGCGAATCCATCGGCGACATGTGTCCGATTTCGAACGGTTCGCGACGACGTGACGGGTACAGCGCTGATTCGAGTAAAAAGATCGCGCGCGATTTTGTCCCGGCTCGCCAAGCACATCCAAACCAGATTACGCGTACGCGACCTCGTCCGCGCACGTGACATCGCTACGCCGCAATCGAACGCTCGTTACTTTTCACGCTCGATTTCGTCTATTCGAGTCATTTCAGTGGTGAATGCTCGATCGCACCGATCAACACGTCGTTTCGAGCGACTCGCCAAAGAAAAGCACTCGCCGCTTTTTTCGAACAGCCGGCAGTCTGACCGGATGAAAAACCACTTCGGCATACAAGAGCCACTAAATAGCAGCGACGGAAGCGCGCTCGTGCCTGCGGCGCTTACGTAGGCAAGCAAGCCGATGTGGTGTGACGCCAATTAATGGAATGTTCCCGCTGGCGAGCGCATCTTGCTCGAGCTCGCGGACGGCTGCGCGCCTTGACTTGTTGCTCGCTCGCTCGCTCGCTCGCTCGCGGAGTCCGCTGTGTTCTCTGTGTTACCCGTAACCCAATTTCGCGGCGCGACGTAACGTTATTTTCGATAGCATTATCGCTCGACGTGTATAGGAAATCCCCCAAATGAACCAGCGTGTCGCAATGAAGAAACTTCACTGAATTATCGTGCCGTGGTGGGAATCTAAACTCCACTCGAAACTTGTTGCCACATAATTCGAGTGCAACTTTGTTGACAGTTATCCACAGCTTCGAGTGAATTGCGTCCGTTCTGTATGTTATAGGCGCGAGTGGAGTGCGTAAGCTTGAAAAATGCCTTGGCTTGGCATAAGTTTGATTAAAGTTATCAGTCAGAGTTGGCGCCGAAGAACGACAAAAGTACATTAGTATTACTTACTATTACATCGGAAAGATTAGATTACACACGGTGTCTGCGCGAGCAGCCAACTTTCAGCCCTCGTAGCGCAACTTTGCGCTCCGGCAGCAACAGTTCGGCTCTGAACTCGATGGCTATGTGCATCTCGCTCGCTCCACGCCCGCCTCGCTGCCGCGCGCGCGCGCGCGCGAAAGAGCGAGCACTGCTTAAAATCTCACTGCGGCGCCCTTTTTGCTGCGCGCGAGCGACGAAACTTTCCCGACATAAGCGCAAGTTCGCGAGAGTTCTGGTGTTTGTTGCGCTCGCGACGACGGAAAATCTCACTGAACGAAGCTTTCGTTCCCCAGCTGAAATGAACTTTTTGGGATTCGCTTTCGGATCAGATTCGCGATAATCCCCCCGAATGGTTATCGGCAAGAGAGATGTTCATAGAAGAATCGAGAGCTACGCAGCCCCGGGCAAAGTATTCGCAATCTCATTGGGAAGTCTCGTCGAATATTCCAAAGTTGGTCTGCGGCTCGAGAGCTGGGCTAGTGTAATAATAAGTGGCGTGTGCGCCGCCTGGCAGTAGCAGCCAGGCCATAAGATACGGCGTCCACTTGGTTTTTCCAAGTTAAATTATAATGAGCAGTCAGGCTGCTGCTTGCCCCTCTCCCCTTTCTGCCGCGCGAAATAATGATACGCGAATATAGCATTCCGTGGGCTTTGCCTACACTAACGATCCGCGACGCGCTCCTCAAAGACAAACTACCCTCTCATCCGCTTTTTCTATCTGTCACGGAAATATTGGCTGCCTAACCGGCCGAATAAATTCCCCTAACGAGAGACGCGCTTCGCGGAATGAAGTAATAGTTCAAAGTACCGTGCGGTCGAGTGCGCAGCTGCGCGTCGACGAGACGCAGAAAAAAATAAACGATCGCGACATTAGAGGACATCGCGCAAGTGTGGTACAGAAGAGGACGGGAGAAAAACCGACAAGATGGGGTTCCGGGCAGGAAGAATTAATGGCCTTGACCCCAAACTATCCCGAGATGGATCATCCATCACGCGAAGCTCGAAGCTTTTTTCACCCGCAGGATTCACTTCTGATCGATCAATCTTGGGACGTTTTCGCGTATGACCGAACGCGTCAATTTCCGCCGTGCAGTCAGCTCCTGCTAGATACTTTTCTCAGCCGGTCCTACTGGCCGGCCACGCGTGTGCGATGGCATGCTCGTTAATGCTGATGATGTGCCGGTGGCAAGTCGTAGCTTGCGTTAATGCGCTCGTCGATAAAAGAGACGATGGAGAGGGAACGAATAAACAAATGACACGTCCTTCCGTGCTTCTTATGAGATATTGACGCCAGCGGAGAGATTTGCAAGGCAGTTCGCGAGGCAATCTCTTTTTTCGCCTTGACGATCTCGTAACGGGGAGATGGCACACGCATGCGTTGCTGAAGAAGAGTAAGTCAAACTCGGAAATATCATTGAACAGCTGCTGACTCATGCTCGCGCCTTCGAGATGGACGTGTCACCAGGCGACGTTCACGAACAAACATTTAGTTTACCGACGACATTACTATCTAGCCGTGCGCCTTTCCGCGTTCCCGAGCGACTCCCTCGGTCCTTGATCAGTCGTCCGATAGAAAAGAACTCGGCACCGTAGCAGTATTGGAGCTAATTACAAAGCACGCGCGAGTAGAACGAGATAAAGGGCTTGTTTCGCGCGCAGCCAGTCGTATGGAGCACCAAGCGATGGCGTGTCAGCGAATAATAAACTTCGGTCGCGCTTCACCGGCGCGTGCGAAATGGGCCGAACGTTGCGATGCGTCAAGACAAGCCGCGCGCCTCCGGTCGTCTTCTTTTGCCTTTCACGACGTTCATGGTTAGCACAGCGTACTCCCCCGCGTACATGCGATCACGCGTGCACACGCAAGGAATTTCCAATTTAAAAGCTACAGGCCGTCGAACAGAAGAGGAAGAGAGAGAGAGAGAGAGAGAGAGAACATTCTGCCCCCGCGGAGCGCAATCGGACGAATACTAGTTACTTGGGACGGTTGCGAATCAAACTTGGGCTTGTAACTGTCAGGCCGAGTTGTAATTGTGCGCTTTGCAATGTGATCGAATTCCCGCGGTGTAGCGTGTTACTCGTCGCAGCATACAAACGAATCGCCTTTATTTACGGGGCGTGATCGTTGACGGAAAGGAGAGATACTCCCTGACGTACACGTGAATTTCGATTCACTGCAGTGTCCTGCGACGGGCTTGCGCGAACGAGCAAGACAAGGGGAAAGCACGCTCGACCTCCCAGCGCGTCCTGCTGACGCTTCAGCAAGTGCCACTTACGCAGCCCCGTTTGCACGTTGGCTTGACAGCCCTGCGAACGATTTCTTGTCTGTCGCCAGTCAAGTCCCGTTGCCTACTTAGCCTATTATCTGGCGCGCGTCGAATATCGGCGAAACTAAAAAAAACGAGCGTCCGCGCGGCTGCAGTTCCGTGTCTTCGAGCATCGTAAAAGACGCGCGCGATTTGCATTCTACTGGCTCGCCCTACGGCTTATCTGCCGATGTGAATGACGCCCCACCCGACAATTTCAGTATATATAAATCGATGTAACGAGTCGAGAGCCTGTAAAAAACAACGTCGACGAGTGATTCCAAACCGCAACAATTGCTTTTCAAAATTGTCGCGGGTCTTGGAATCTCGATCGATTCGCCCGACGACAGATGCGAAGCGATAAAGAAAACAAAAGGAACAATTGATAAAACGCATTCGAAGAGGGGGAAAGAGCGCTGTTTCAGGCTGGAGATAATCAAAGTGAAAAAGTAATGCAATTAAAAGGCCCGTAAATCAGGTCTGGCGTAAGGGGCCATAAAGAAGAAAGTTTAACTTGCGCGGAATTATTTTACCAGCTCTCGGAAGATTATTATCGCTGCGCGTTATTTATTTTGAAATAACTGTTACGTCGCCGCGAGTGGCATGATATCGGTCTTGAAAACTCATTGCCGGAGTGATGAATGTACGATCTTATAAAAAAATACCACGCAAGCGAAATATGAACGTTTTATTCGCAGGATCGGCAGCGGCACTCGGCGAGGAAGCGATCGAAGCCCAGGAAAGCGGAAGAAAATCGCGGGGCGGTTGAACTGGCGGCCCGATGCGAGGCGAGGGCCCGAGCGAGCGCACGAAGACGAACACGAAGACGCGGACGAGAGCAGTAGGATGCAGCAGTCGCCGTTTTGACATACAAGTGAGCGCTCAGTTGACCGGGTCGGGTTGGCCGACGAAGCTCCGAGAGGAGGAAGCGGCGGCAGCGGCGGCGGCGGCGGCACCAGCAGCAGCAGCAGCATCAGCAGCAGCAGCAGTGGAAGAGGAAGAAGATGAGCCGCTTGGCTGCCGGCTAGACGCGTATGGAGGGGCCCGACGTAACGAGCGGCAGCCCGGAGACTACCTGGCTTCCTAACCCGAGCAAAGGCGACTGGCCAGCCAACAACGACACCTACGAGCTCAACGCCGATGGCCTCTTCCGGGTATTCCCCGGCAAGGATTCAGCCTACACTATATGCGGGGTAAGCCGTCGCTTTGCCCGGTCGGCTGGCCGACGCGGATCCTCGAGCGCCCTCCTGCATCTGCTCCACTGGCCCGCCGCATGCTCGCGTCCGTTTCGATTGCCAAGCGAACCTTGCTCTGCCCGCTGCAGTGCAATTCCGCGGGGTCGAGTGCGCTCGCTCCAGCGGCGCGTTCGCTCTCGCGCCGACGCACCAACGCCCAGCTGCTTCGACAGTCGAGCGCGCTTGGCGAGAAAACATGTCCCGAATTAGGAGGGATCGCCCGATGCGGCATTCCAGGCTTCTCGCGCGCGCCACTTCGGCCGAGTCGCCCGTTAAAACCAACTGCTCGAATCAAATTTCTCGAGAACTGGGAGCCGGGAGAATCGATCTGACGTCGCGCGCACTTTCGAATTAAGTGCCTCTGGGAGTTGGCGCGCTTGTATATTCCAGCAAACGGCGCGGCTCCGTGGAAACGTGAAAACGTGGAGACGTGGAAACGCGGAACCATGGAAATGCTGCTCGCCACCAAGTGCGAATAAAAATCAAAAGCGCGGCGGCTGAATAATGGGGCTGGCGATCGATATCCGTAGGCGCTCCTGGTGGCGCTGGTGCTCGGGGCGATAATCGTTGGCACGGTGATCGGCAACATCCTGGTGTGCGTGGCGGTGTTCTTGGTGAAGAAGCTGCGCAAGCCCTGCAACTACCTGCTGGTCAGTCTGGCGGTGTCGGACCTGTGCGTGGCGCTGCTCGTCATGCCCATCTCGATGCTCTACGAGCTGCGCGGCAGCTGGGCCTTCGGGCCCACCCTGTGCGAGGTCTGGGTCAGCTTTGACGTGCTCAGCTGCACCGCCTCGATTCTCAACCTTTGTATGATATCCGTCGATCGGTAAGTGCCCCAGAGCAACAACTGTTATTCGGGCTAAACGCCAATTGCGCGCCGCGACCGCACGCGCCTCCATCCAGTCGGCTCGCTAATCGCTCTCTCGCCGCGGGATGCGCCTACGTGTGCGCGACTTGTACGCGCCGGCACCACTGCTCTTATTTCCCGTTGCACCGAGTCTCGTTGTCGGGCTTGGACAGCAGCCCGCCGACGCGACGCGATGGTTTCATCTTTTGGGCGTATTCTGTCGTTGCGTGCAGTCACGCAAGGAAGAAAGCACCGCGCGAACCGCTTCTGTTTTCAGCGCACGCGTGTTTTCTTTTTTTCTTTATTTTTTTCTTGTTTTTTATTTATCACGTCGATAAATCGTAACCTTTTACGCTTCATTTATCAATATTTTTTGCCCTGCCGGATTTCCATGGCTCGTACATTTTTTACAATAAAGGCCGACGCGCGTTTCGCTCGCGACAAAGGGGAGACGGAAAAAAAAGCGCTTCAGCTTTGTAGGTGCACAGGGTGCGTAAAATTAATTCCGTGCGTTGCCGCGCGCGCACACACTATCAAAGTTAAATCAGGTCTACGTATAACGAACAGTTGCGGTGCGCGATTCGTAGCGGCGAGGTGAATTCTCGGAGCAATTGTCCCAACGAAATATGAATCTTCGCGCTCCCCTCGCTCCCTCGGATATTCGTTAAATCGCGCGCGCTCTTATCGACAAGACGAGATCACGGTGTAAAGAAAATTTCATTGACAGCAAGTCGAAAAATCTGCCGAGATCTCGATTAGCGAGCTGGCTGGCGAGAATAACTGAACGTCACGTTTAATTAACTTGGAGGTACAAGCGGGGCTCCTTGGCCAAACTGCCGGCGCAGCCGTATAACCCGTCGGAGGAGTTTGGCGCTGCGTGATGTCACGCGCAGACGTCAATGTCAGCCCGATATCGCTTTTAATTAACCGACCGACCAACCTCTCTCTCCCACCTGCCGTAGATCTAAGCGAGGCGACGTGTCGCATCCTCTATACGTGTAATGCAATTCGCGACGACGGAATGTAGACGCGCACGATAGCGCGTTGATCGGACTCTACTTTTTCTTTTCAGCTCTCCGTACGGACCAACGAAAGTCTGCTTTTAATTCGCATTCAGTTCTTTCTTTTGCCAGGCAATCAAATAAATCTCCGAGTTAACTGGGAAATGCCCGCGGCAGTAAAAATAAAAGCCGCGAAATTCGCCCTCCTTTTCTCCGTCTGCTGCCGGCTCCGAAACAAAGCTCGCTCCTTGAAAAATTGCGCGAATGCATTATCATCGCGAAGACCCGAAGCCACGGGAATGCATACTGGGACGCCGAATTTCAAACAATGCGACTTTCTCGCACGAAACACAGAGCTAAGAGCGAAGAAGGTGCACCTGCATTCCCGCTGAAACCTCGCCAAATGGAACGTCGCGGATCTCCGAGTTGCGACGAGGCGCCTGATCCGCCATCGTACTCGCTCTCGACAGGCCGACTCTTACGCTCTTACGAGACGTCTCGCGATTGATCGCGCGAAAGGGTGCCGCCTCGCGCGTATGGAAGCTACGGGACGCGCGGACGACGTTTATGCGCGAGTGAAAAGTTTACGGGTGTATTGGCAGGTGAAGCGCGCGACGCCGACTTGTTATCGAGTGTCCCGTAGAGCGCCCGCGAAGAACGTTTCAACTTGAGTGGCGCGCTGACGCGCGTGCTTCGATAACCGTCTATAGCGTCTTCTTAACGGCCGCGACGGCCAATCGCATCGTGTCGGATTTACGGAGGGATATCTTTATAAGTCGGAACGCCGTGAAGAATGACACTCCGCGGTGCTGCATGTGAAATTGAATGGAAATCGCGCGCCAACGGATCTACACGCCCGACCTCGACTAGATTTTTTCCCCCATTCCGCGCACTCTTTTCGGTGGCGAGGATAAGCATACACGCCCACGCGCGATTTTCGGGACGCGCTGCCAACTGCATATCCCATGCCCTGCGGCCTCCAAGAATTTCGTTTGCATACACGCTCGCGCGACCAATTTTTTTCCCGGGATTATAGGTAATCCACTAGCAAGTGATGGGTTTTCGATTGGTGGGAATGACGGATGGATCATCCCCCCGGCCCCTCTCATTTTTGCTAGTCGCGAAATATGACGCGAGACATATTTTCTTTCCTTGTTTCGTCGGAGCCATCGATTCGCCAATCTACGAATTTACAAATATTTTTTTTTTAAACTGCATCTGGATCGCGGAAAACGCGCAGCATATTCGAGTCTGAAAGTTGTCCCTATATGAACGTTTTAATTAACGAGAGCACGCTCACGTGCTAATTGAATGCCGAATGCTGCTTTCCCTAAAATGGTATTTCTCGCGCTGCGTAGAAGTACTTCAGGAACGTTCGATTGGACTAATCCAGAGGCGTATATATAGAGGCGAGCAATTAAGCGAAGCCCGCGCCGCACGCGCACACGGCCGTAAAAGTACATCGCGCGGAAAAAAACGAAAAAGATCGAGGGTCGGACGAGGTGGAATTGAATCTCGCGCGCGGACAAACTTTGTGCATGATAACTCGTTTTGTCGTTTTTTTCGTTTCGGTTAAAGCCTTGCTCTTTTTCCTGTTTGTGCGCAGATACTACGCGATATCGATGCCCCTAGAATACGGAGTGAAGAGAACGACGAAGCGAATGATCATGTACGTGGCATTCGTTTGGTTTGGCGCTGCGGCCATAAGCCTGCCACCGCTGCTTCTACTCGGAAACGAGTACACCGTCAGCACGTCCGGTGTCTCGCAGTGCATCGTCTGCCAAAACTTCGGCTACCAGATCTACGCTACGCTTCTTAGCTTCTACATTCCTCTCACCGTTATGATATTTGTGAGTATTTTCTTCGACGAACGACAGTCGAGGTGCACGTTCCTTTTTGGGCCAGCTCGATAACAGTCGAAATTGCTCCGAAAAACGAGGACGAATGTCACTTCACGGGGAACTCCGTTCTGACCAAAAATGTACACCATCCGTGAAACGGCTTGCATAGTTTATACTTCCGAAAAGTGACAGAGACTGCAGTTCACAGCCGCGCTCGTCGTTAATTTCCCTAAGACTAGCGGCTGAATAATCGTTTGCTCGCAAATCCGCTGCGACCGCCTATTCGCCGCGCATAGTCGGCGCGCATTGTTCATCCGACGATTCATCATGGATAGCGACGCCTCGATCGTAAATTAGCCGCGACGATGCCAGCGTCTTAATTATCGAGCGCTCGCGTGTCGTCTCGAGTATCGACGGCGCCTACGTCTTATCTCTCGGAAATCGCATAAACAGACTTGTTGATCCCTCGGGAGCAAGAGGATGAGGCTCCGTTGTGAAATCGACGCGTTGAGTGACCTTGAGCGATAATGCAACTTCGCTTGGCGCGGGACCAATCGCGGACTCTTTGATTCATGAGTATGCGAGACACTACGTCAAGTAGGTCAACGCGAGCGCGAACGATAACATATTCGTAACGATAACATTCACAAGCTTTCAATGGAATTGTTCGTTGAAACCTTGCAACTTCTTGTTTCATCCTTCCAAGATGAGCGGACGTTTCGAACTCGTTGATAAAACGCAACCTGTAACTATCTTTATTAGAATCGATTCAAGATATACTTGTGCATATAATTCCTTAATTTGTCCGATGAACATGTTTTGCAGCACACTTTCATGGCGTTATCATGATACTCGCGACATTACCATAATGAAGTAGATATGCAAGCACTCGAGACAGCAAATTTGACTTCATCGTTCATGCATAATTCATTATGTAAATATAATAAAGTCATTATTAAGAAGCAGGCTATTTAAAATTCTAAAAAGAGGCACGGTGGAGAATTTTAAGTGGTAAGTTAGGGTGAGACAAGTAGCAAGCTAATTGCAGTTCCGCAATTAATTATCGTTACATTGATATAGCCAATTAATTGGATCCCTTCATTGTCAGGAAACGCACGACGATCGACGAGAGTGAGGTGTCGCTCGTGAAAAGAAGCGCTCACTCGAAAGCAGCAGTCCGGCGAAAAAAGATATTCATTTTAAAAGCGCAAACTTGAGGTTCCTTTCGAAACGCCAAAGTCATTCTTTGCTCGTCGCTCGAATCACCAATCGGACCTTTTCAAACTGACATTCGCAAGGAAAACTCGCTGTTGTAATTTTTAATTCACTCGCAATGGTCGTCCCACTTTGTCCCCGCCTGCCGCGACAATACGAATCGCGGAATCGATTTGGCGCTTTGCTTGGCAAGCGGCCCTTCAAAGTCAGAGCTCGAGCGCGAGCGTCACTCAAGCCGCGCTGACACTCGATGCGCTCGCAGCGCGGCTCGAGTCGAAGCGACGCCGGCGACACGCGTCTAACTAGTCGAAACGGAAACTGCAGGTATACTACAAAATCTTCTGCGCGGCGCGGAAGATCGTGCTGGAGGAGAAGCGGGCGCAGAGCCATCTGGACGCTTACTGCCACCTGGACATAGAGCAGCACCTGCCCCCACCGATCGTGCAGCAGAAGCCCACGCAGTTCGACAGTCAGATAAACCATGGCCGCGACGGTGGCAGTTCGCCCGTGGCCGAGCACCACCACCGCAGCTCCAGCGCCTCGACCACGGTAAGCCTTGCAGCTACTCACCCCCAGGCTCGCCTTTTAATTGCGAGAGCCGAGTCGCGCCCTCGCCTGTCCGCCTGTCCCGGCGAGTAGCAGCGCTCATTTTCCAAATGGATCCCAGAATACAACAGGCGCTCCACGTCGCAGCGCTTGCCGATGAATTACGACCCTTTCAGGCCGATGCAGTTTAGAGTCCTCCACCGACGACCCAAGATTATTGGATCTCGAGGGCGGCGCGCGAAATCGCAAGCCTTCTTTACGAGCGTTTCGAGCGCACGTTATAAACTTTTCTTATCTCGCGCGAAATTGTTTGACTGGCGCTCCCTCCTCGCCCTCGTAAATACCTGACTGCCTCCGCTGTGAGCACTAAAAATTTCCAGCCGACTCGACGACTTTTCAGCGGCTTGCCGTTTCGCGGCTGCGAATCGCGGGATAGATTAGCGTCGCGGCTCTTCCGCTACTGATATTCGCGGGACGCCGCGCCGTTGCGTGGTTTTCGGTTTTTTTCTCACGTCATTTATGAGCTTCCGCGACCTCGGAGAAAAAAAAACCGCACGCCGCCAGTATCGGCGTTACACGTTTATCGGCGCCAAACTATTTCCAGGCGTTCCACGACGATTTTACGAAAGAGAAAACTTCGGATCGAAGTGGTAAGGGAGCTTATCAAGAGGCATTTGGTAAGCTAACACAGCCGCTTGCCGAGAGCAACAGCGACGGCTGGCAATCAACGCTCCACAGCGTGAAAATAAAGAGAAATCAGGCTAAAAGACGCCTTACGCGCGCTCCGATCCGCGTTTGCGGGCCAACTGGAGCGGCAGAGTTGAGCTCTCTCTCTCTCTCACTGTCTCGAATTACCTTCCAGTTGAAGCCAAGCATTTCGACGATTCCCGCCTGAGGGTCTGATTGCACGGCAAGATCCTTGCTTTGATTCGCGTGGCTCTCGCTCGACTGACATGCCAATTCCGCGTCAAGAATAAATTTTTGATTCTCTACGATTGATTATCTCATTCGGCAACTGGCTGTCCGCTCCAAGCTTCTTTGCTGTCGTCGTCGACGCGAGTTAACGTGACCTTAACAAAGTCTCTCTGGGAAATTAGCGGTCGCCGAGAGAGAAAGAGCGAGAGAGAGGGCTGAGGGTGAGGGGAAACGAAAGTGCAGATTATAAAGCGCACTGCTGCATTTTGTATAAGTGGCGCTTCGAATGTTTCGCTTCACCGAGATTACTTTCGCAAACGTAGAATTTTGCCGCGTGTTTTTGCGAGATTATTCTTTAATACGTGTCGTTGAAGTGAAGTGGCCTACTTTTACAAACGCAATGGCAAAATGAGAACGTATTGTATTGTTACACTTTTCATTATTAGATTGTAACCGCTTTTACTTACAGCGGCTATGCTGTCCCAGTTTTTTGTTTTCTTTTCTAGGCGAGTTGTCATTTGTTGTCCTTGCCTGAATGATTCTCGTTGCGCCGTCACTTATTGAAAAAATTATCGAAAAAAATTATTGAAAAAGTTGGAACGATGAAGCTCCTGGAATACGAGCGGACTTTGCTGCAAAGTGCTTACTCAGCAAAAGTGGAATGCCCATAATTAAATCACCTTAGCAACTCTACTTTATGCACGTACGTTCTTCGGAAATTGTAAGATTAGAGCGAGCGAGCGAATTCCGTGCTCGAGGAAAAGAGCAACAAAGTATATTAGATTTTACGAGCATTCCTGCGAGGGAGAATGTATCCCCGGAAAAAAGTTGGAGGTGAAGGGAGTTGCAGTTGGACCCGCGCGCAAGCGCGCGCGCACGAGCAACAAACGGGAAGCGTGATTCCTTAAGCTTATAGAGACGAGAAGCAAGATAAAAGCGTTAAGCTTCCGGAGTGGTAGACAGACCGAACAAAATCTCACCGCCGTCGTCCCTCCCATCAGGACGAAGACTTTTGGAACGAAAAGTTTTTCGCGTGACCGTCGTCGTCGCCGGACGCTTAACAACGAGAAGTAAAATATATCGAGTAACAGTCCGAGCATTTTTCAAAGGTATCGATACCTCGGAAATGTCAAAGTTGCCGCGCACAGCACACAGCAGCAGTGAACCTCGAGGAAAATGTTGAACTCGATAATAAATCTGCCGTTAGCAGGAGAATGGAAGCGCACGACGAAGAAAAGGCGCGCGCGATCGATGTAGGCCGCACAAAGAGGATGCAGCTCGCGCGCGCATTTTCACCGTATTCATTGCCAAAAACGCGCTCGTAAATAGCGACCGAGGGGAGGAAGCCATAACCATATCCGCAAAACGCCAGGCCGAAATTTCGTGATACTCGTTCGACTCGCTATCGCCGATCGCATTCGCCAGCAGTTAAAAGCCGCTTTAGGCTCTCTCGGAGCCGCCGCTGGAATACCGAGCCACTCTTCGTGCTCTTTTTCCCGCTGAAATTTGCATGCCATCCCGGAATAATCACTAATAATCACGATTGAAATACAGTCATTTCGGGGAAATTCCATCGAGCACCGCGGCTATTTCTGGCGCTCTCATCCAAAACCAAGTGTAGATTTTCTACTTTAGCTCGATAAGACGAGCTAAGCGAGCTAAATTCGTATCGAGCGCAGCTATTCTCACGTTACAATCATTTCTCGCTAGCGCCGGCTATTGTCAATGTCATTTACGGTAATCGATTCGCGTGAAGTCTGTCAACGTCATTCGTCGCGTCGACCGACAACAGAGTGAAAACGATATTTCGTCCGAGGTATGTTTAAAAAAAAAGTCCAACGAGAGGAGAGGTGTAATTGACTTCCAGTCAGGTCCGTTATTACGCGAGTCCACCAGCTTTGATTTTCACTCCTTTTTCCGACGATTCATCACGCAAAGAGACGTGTACTGATAGGTGGCGGCGCGGCGGGTGCCTCCAAATCCGCGGGAGGACATTAAATCAACGGCATGAGATATTCATCTCGGTTGCGCGGGCGGAAGTTCGAGCGCCGCGCATCCAATCGACAGGAGCATCGATAATTCACATCCCATTAGGCAGCTGCACTATGAAATTTCCATGCCGCGTACATTATATTCCCGCATTTATGCCTCGAAAGCTCATCATGGAATAACTATTAGCGGCGGACCGTCTACTATGTATTCAGCTAATAAAAGCCAGCGTTTTTCCTCCCCCACCCGTTGACTATGAGGCTATGAAGGGACGGGGGTGGCGGCGGGAGGGGGCGGGGGGTCAAAAAATAGGGAATCTGTGGATACCACCGGGGATGCTAAAAAGTTTTACGGTTATGCCCATCGTGGTAGTGCACACTCTCGGTGCATCCCGCGCGCATGAAAAATGCAAAGAGTATGTGATCCGAGGAGAAAGCGCGTGAGCCTCCTTGAAATGGCGAATTTCGTGCGGCGAGAATTCGGAAACAGAGCCAGAGAGAGTGAACTTTTTTACGAGAAGTCTCCGTTTTTTTTTCATCTTAGCATCACCCGCGAATTCAAGCTTTCATGAGCCAACGTCAAACAAGTAAAAAAATAAGAATAATAAACTTTGATCGTCAACCAAGAGTTAAGGAATTTTCTTGAATGAAAGAAATCGATAGAGAACAAATGAAAGTTGAAATGTGGAGCTAGTGGATAATCCTGGCAATTATCGGGAAAACTCGAGAGGGAAACGAACGCTACGCCTGGAGATTATATCGAGACTTGAAAAATGCACTTCACCACCGACGGGTGCGCGCCCGAGAGAGCGTAAGTCCTTTAAATTCATTAAAGGCAGTCAAATGAATCTGTTCGTTGCGCCATAGCTCTCGGGGATATGGAACTACAGTGCCAGCCGGCAACACACATAACGCTTCGGCCTGGCGACATTTTATTTTTTAATAGACGCGAGACGAGCGAACAAGCGTCCAATGTTCCAACGTTCATACGTGGGCTAATTGAATTGCTTATCGCGCGCGCGTAATCACTCGATCGCAATGTTGGGAGATGGATTAAAATTGCCCCGCGAGACTGTTACTAAAACGATTTATAGAGGGAAAAGAGGCGGAGATCGCTTGTTGCGGAGGAAAAGCGCGTCTCAATTGCGCGTCTCAATTTATGCCACCATAAACGTCAGCTCGTACGTACACACGCGCGTGCGCGAGAAAGAGAGAACATTGTGCATACGGAGCGCCCCCTCCGCAGAATCAGCGTCGTCTACTCTGTTCTATTAATTACCAGCTTCATTCCAGATTTATTCGTGAACGTGTCTCGGTATGCCTTCCTAATACCCTGCGCATGGCCGCGCATACGTGAACCACGTAAATTCGATCTACTTATTGGCTTCGCACGCTTCCCCGTCAAGCCTAATTTCTCGATTCGTTGATGATCAGAGAGTTTTTGCATACCTTGACGATCAAGAAAATTCTGTTCTTTTCCCTTCGACTTTGTACGCGCTTGTTGATTCGCGAGAGGATGAATAATTAGGAAGAGGAAGAGGAAGGAAAAACGTTCAGGATGCGGGAGACGCTCGTGGAATTTTTACTGGCTCGAGAGGAAAATTCTTCGTGGTATGGAGCACTGCAAAAGGAATTTTCGGCTCGTAAATCAGGTGGCATCCAAGCCACAAATGACCTTATCACGAAAAAAGTTATTGTCACGATTCAAAGTAGATCAGAGTCGTGAAAAACTCTGGTAATTCGTGTGCGCGCGTTTCTTTTTTGCCAGCGTACAGTTGGGACTGCACTCAGCAGTAATACTGTGCGTTATTCGTGGAAAAATAAGCTACCGGAGGCGCCTCGTTTCTGTTTTTGAGACGTCGACAATACTAATTACAATGTATGGAGAGGCATGACAATCGACGACTTGGTTCGGCCTTTTGGTTTACTTTGAGCGAAGGTTAATAGCACTCGAGAGAGAGAGGAAAAGCGAGACGCATTTAATAACGAGCGGGAAACGAACGGAGACTATTAAATAATTGCGCGCCTGTGAAAGAAACAAAGAGCGAGAGCGACACTCCGTTGTGCGGCCTCGCAACAAGCTCCGTTTCAATTAGAGCG